TGTGACATGTCTAAATCCGAGTGATATGTTCACTGCTCATGATAAGAGAAAATTAATTCGTCTTGCAGAGTTATATCTGACAGATTTCTCTATGGTTGATCTTGTGTCTCTTGATCATCAGCTATCTACTTACATTATTGATATGCATACTAGTGATGAGTTTACATCTTTAACCAGTATAGCGGCTCTTGCAAAACAGCTTGTAAGGGCCAAAAAAAATATTGTGTATCCGCTGGTGTATAGACTTATTGTTTTGGCATTGAATTTACCAGTTGCTACTGCTACGGTGGAGAGAGCATTTTCTGCAATGAAGATTTTACGCATCGACTGCGTAGCAAAATGGGTGATGCTTGGCTCAATGACTGTATAGTGTCATATATTGAAAAAGAAGTATTTGATTCAATTCCAAATGAAGTCATTATGCAACATTATCAGAAAATACAAAGTAGAATGCAAAGTTTGTAATTTTCTTTTTTATTTCATAAACTATAATGAAGTCCAATGTATTACTTAGAATTTTGCTAATGAAAATGGGAGTATTTACTTTTTTATATATTGAGTTTGCCCCCCCCAAAAAAAAGGTTGGATCCGCCCCTGACTTTTAGTACTATCATGATGGGTTAACTCCTGATTGAGTTCATTAAAGTAAAAATGAATTCAATTCGATTTTAATTTGATCAATGCTAAATTGATCGAGTACTTTAGCTAAAGGTTCAGGCGTAAAAACATTTGGATTGAGCCTGAACCTGGTTTTAAGTTAGGTGCACTAACTTGGCAGCCACTATGTGCAATCGACCATGTTGATATCTGAAGGTGTTCAATTTGATCTTAAATGAGTCTTAGTTGAATCTTACCTGCATAATGTATGTGTCCATAAACTCGTAACATGTTAGAATTTATATATGAGTTGTAATGCCAAATAAAGCTCACTTGGTTTTAATTTGGTCTACATGAGTAAATTAAATTGGGCCCTTCATCAAATAAAAATTTGGGTGATCATACATGCATATTTAAAGTTTGCTTGCGGTGTAAACCGATTTGAAGTAATATGAATGTAGTGTATAGTTTAAAGATGATGACAACCATTGGGTGGCAGCGTTGGTGGCCGACGGGTGGCGGCGACGGTGGTTGGCTGCTGTGGTGGGTGAAAATGGTGGTCGACGGCGGGTAGCGGTGGCCAGCAGTAGTGGCTAGAGGTAGGTGGAGGTGGCTGATGGCGGTTGTCAGCAGTGAAGTGAGCTTGCTTGCGATATAAATCATTTTTGCCCAAAATTGGGCGAGTTTAGTTCATCTCGAAAATGAACTAGAATGATTTATACTAAATTTAATTTACTTTACATTCATTTTTCATCTAACCAAAAAACAAAATTTTCAAAACCCTTGCATTTGGAAGAATTTACACCCTTGTGTAATCCAACCAAACAACCCCTTAATGGTCAACATTTTGAACCGTAAAGCACCGGAGGTCTCATCACCATCTTATAGAATTTTTCTTTAAGTTTGAGGGGTACTTTTCTATCACAAAACAGGCCTGATGCATTCCTCCTCTTCAACCATCCAACTTGAATTATACTAATAATATTCACATCTATTTCACCATCACTTTGAATAATAGACCATAATATCTAAAATATATACTTTTTTAATGACTTGATAGCCCAAAATCACAAACCCCAAACTAGATCTATTACTATTAAAATTACACTCCATCGATTTAATTTTACATCTGCACAAATGAAAATATTTATACTCTAAAGTTGACCTCCATAATTCATGTTTTTCTTCAACTCCCTTTCTTTTCTAATCAACAAGAATATCATCAGCCAAAAGCATACACCAGGGTAAGAACATCCATGACTAAAGAAAAAAAATATATGGGCTTAAAGCTGATCCTTGATGAAATTGAACTATAACCC